GTGGCCACTGTAATAAAGTATCAAACCCAGCAGGGTAGCAGTAAGTGCAATGGGAGGGGCAGTTGGTGTCAGAATTAGTAAAAATGCAGGAGAGTGGCACATGTCTGGCATCACAGCAATCAGCCTTGGGCTGCTGCTGCTGATTCTGTCTCTCCCTGTGAAGTTAGAGAAGGTCAAAGGATGCCAGGCCAGACCCACACCTTTTTTGCTTCTTGGGACCACATATATCCCAAAATGTGGGAACTCCATTATTATTTAAAATAAGTATGATATTTATATTTAAATACATTTTGTTACTTAAAAGATAATATCACATGAGTTTTTATCATTTACTATGACAAATCTAGTATTTAATACTAAAAGAGGTTTTAGAAGTTGGCCAAAAAACCCTGGCTACTGTTTTAAACAATGTTAAAATGGGAAAATGTGTTCTTGTTCCAAATGGCTGTTAAATTGGGAAAACATCCAACAAGAGTTCTCCAGTCAAATAAAATGGTTCATAATTAGCATTGCTTTATGAATGTTTGGTGCACCTACTTTTTTCCACAGATATAAAAGAATAAGCCCACAGACTGACAACTTTCAGGAGAAGGCAATAAGGGTGAAAGGAGTCCTGCTAGCAAAATGGGTAAACACCTGGCTGGTAACTCAAAGGTTGGTAGTTCAAACCCACCCAGCAGTTCCATGGGAGAAAGGCCTAATGATTTTCTCTGGTAAAGATTTCAGCCTAGGAAACCCTATGAGACAGATCTACTTTGTCAAACTGGGTTGCTATGAATTAGAATCTATTTTCTCACATCTGACTACAAATGAGGGTGAATGGATTCATGCATATTCTCTTGTTTTCCCTATAATTAAGCAGCAGTGCTACTTTAATATACTATTCCTTTTCTTTCCATTCTTTCATCTACAGGCAACTCTACCTCAACTTCAATCATACCAACCATCTCCACAAGGAAAACCAATTGAGTCCAATATCCCTCTTCCAAATAAATGACTGTCCTACAAATACACCTCAAGGGTTAAAGCCATAAATGATTATTAATGATAAATATGTATCTATTCCCACCCCTACATCCCCAATCACAGTAGTTTACAAACCACACTTTTTCTTCAAACAAACGTTAACATGTAAAACAGGTAAAAGTCTATCTCTGAAGTTTTTTTTTTTTCCTTCCCCCAAAGATGATGAGGTTGCAGAATCTTTAAACACCATTGCCCTGGATAACATCTTCATAAGTATTAATTTACAACAGAGATATTAGTCACTTTTACTTTATCTTTAAACACAATAAAGGAACGATCTGTTAAAAATAGCAAAACATGTATTTCACAAAATACAAGGAAATAAAACCATTACAATTACAACATCTATTGAACACAAGTATGTTAACACCTTGCAAGAAGCTACTTAGAGTCAAATGTTGCAAATACAGAAATGTATGTGCTGTGTAGTAAATTACATTGTGTGGCTTTTCTAGCCATTAGTCTTTGTAAACTCAGTGGTGGAATTTGTCATGAGCAACTGAGTAGCTCTTGATTGTTAATGTTATCCACCTGGAGTATTTCTGTTGCCAGTGGCATGAAGCAATCTTTTGGGAAGTTCTTCTTCTCTCAGGTGTATAGAATTCTGATGTTGGGATTGGTTAGTTTGGCCACTCTGCCAGGCTCAAAAGAAGCCCTCCTAGAGGTAGAAGGAATCTCTCTCACTGCCAGCTGAGAGATATGAGAGACATGCACTGCTGAGAGACAGATGTGAGACATGCACTGCTGAGAGAACGATTCAAGAGACACCTACCACTGAAAGAGAGATACTGAGAGACACATACTACTGGGAGAGAGACTGTCAGTCAAGAGATGGCAGGCTGAGAGTGTTCCTGAACTTGAATTGTAGCCTGTTCTTCCCTAATATACCCCATAATCTGTGAATTCTGTGTGGCCATTGCAGCTAATTATCGAACCCAGCAGAGAGGTGGTGGGGGCTGCAGGAGGAATGGCTGGTGTCAGGGTTGGTGAAAGGGCTGAGGGAGGCAGTATGTCTGGCCTTGCAGGAATAGGCCTTAGGCTATAGATGGTGATTCTGTTTTCTTCTTGTGGGGTCATGGGTACCAGCTGCCAAGTTTCTGAATTCTGAATTCTGCCAAGACCTGAAAACTACAAATGTGGGCTCCTTGCTCCTTTGGCAGATGGTGTCAGAAGTGGGATTCGTTGCAGTGGCTCCAGACTCATAGAAGCACCAGACTTGGTAAAAGAAAGAAGGAAGGGGCCCAGGAAGTGAAACTTTGAACTCTATGATGGTCACTCTGGTTGGTGTTACCTATTAAAGGAGAAAATTGATTCAGAGGCTAGAGCTTTTGGTTACACCCAGCCAAGGGCCCAAGGCCATATACACAGAATGGGAAGGTAATCAAGGTGAAGAGATGAACCTGGAATGTTTTACAAAATATTATGTCTTTTGGATTATGTTTTTATCTGAATGTACTATGGGTATTGAAGGTTCTCCTACCTGCTTATACATTAGAAATTATTATGGGGTGTGTATAATAGAAAGCATGTAAGTCCGCCATCAGCCAATAACTGATTGGGTATGTTAAAAAGGGAAACAGAATTTGCCCAGAAGAAACACAGGCCTTTGTTTCAAACCCTGTGTGTAGAGTATAGGGGGCTTAGGCAGAACTACTGATTGGAACAAAAGATCTGCATTTGAAGAAAGGACCTGAAGAGAAAAAAAAAAAGACCATCTGGCTTTTTGAATTTTGAGCAAGTAGATAGGTTTTGGGTGCATCAAGACAAGAAAGTTATGGTCCATGAGAGAAACCAGGACTGAAAGTTAAAGGAAGCCAGTGAGTAGAAGGCTTTTATGTTACTCACTTGTGACCACATGGGTCCACTTGAGTGGAAATGGGGGAAGAGCATCAATGAAGAAAAGGGCTTAGTTTCATACTCTTTAACCTAGGCCACAGAGGCTGGGGATGAGAGGAAGGGCTGGCTGGTCTGAAGTGCAAGGAGTTGTGAGCCTATGGACATTGAAATAGCCCCTGAGGACTGAAGATGTGAGAGAAGGTACTGGCTGGTCGGAAGTGAAGGGAAGAGTGCGACTCTCAAACTTGGCAGCTGGTACCCATGACCTAGCTGGGATGGGTGAGCTGAGCTGACCAAACAAAGAGGAAGATGTGTGACACTGAGCTGGTGTTAAGTTGGTGCAATTTGATGGCTTGTGCTGGGCTGGACTTTGCTTGTTCATGGATGCAGATGCCCAAAGTTTCCAAGCAGAAGTGAAGATTCTTCAGTGGGAAAGGAACATGCTTGTCTCCTCAGAGTAGTAGTTTGATAGGGATGGGCAAATTAGAAATTGGCTATCTAAAATAGGGGGAAAATAAAGGCATAAAGTGGCTGGCTTACACGCTTTCATGGGTGTGGTTATTCTTAAACTGATGGTGAAGGCGATGTTAATTTTTGAAGTATAAAAGGGATAATGGCTAGAAAGGCCAGGGGGTGGCCTGCAGTGTAGTAAATTACATAGTGTGGCTTTTCTAGCCATTAGTCTTTGTAAACTCTGTGGTGGAATTTGCCATGAGCAACGAGTAGCTCCTGATTGTTAAAGTTACCCACCTGGGGTATATCTGTTGCGAGTGGCACAAAGCAATCTTCTGGGAAGTTCCTTCTCTCTCAGGTGTATAGAATTCTGATGTTGGGATTGGTTAGTTTGGTCACTCTGCTAGACTCAAAAGGAGCCCTTCTAGAGACAGAAGAAATCTCTCTCACTGCCAGCTGAGAGACACAAGAGACATGCATTGCTGAGAGAGACGAGAGACACGCACTGAGAGAGACACCTACCACTGAAAGAGACATCGAGAGACACGCACTGCTGGGAGAGAGACTGAGAGAGACTGTCAGCCGAGAGACAGCAGGCTGAGAGTGTTCCTGAACTTAATTGTAGCCTGCTGCTTCCCTACTAAACCCCATAATCTGTGAGTTCTATGTGGCCACTGCAGTGAATCATCAAACCTAGCACAGAGGTGGTAGGTGCTGCAGGGGTAAGAGCTGGTGTCACGGTATTTGAAAGGGCTGGAGGGAGGCAGCATGTTTAGCCTCTCAGGAATAGGTCTTGGGCTACTGATGGTGATTCTGTCTTCCTCTTGTGGGGTTAGAGAAGGTAAGAAGATGCAGCCTCCCTGCCCCTTTGGCAGTATCCCTTAATGTTAACAATATGTTCTGTGAAACAGGATATTATGTGGTTTGGATGGTGTGTGAACACTGTATTAAAACCTTATGGGAGCTTGCTTCTGGTCTTCCTTGTCATTGTTGTTGCTGCTGCTGCCTGGCGGCAACTGCTAAAAGAACAGTAGTGGGAATGGAGTGAGAGGAATTGAACAGGGATGGAGTACAGTATGCCCAGCCTCACCTGATTTTCTACCCATGTGACTAGCAGGAGCAGCCCACACCCCAAAGCGGCAACCACCGCCTACTAGTCAAAGCCCATGAGCCCACACCCAAGCGCTATGTCCTCTGCCTCATGTGCTTGTATCCAACCCATGGTCTAGAGCTGCTAGAGTCTGAGTTTGGGGTCTTTAAAACCATTATGCAGAAATACTAAACAAAAGAAGAGTTGCTTTCCCTCTGAAAACAAAACAAAATACCTTATGGGGCCATGGACATATGTATGGCTGGATGTTGCCCAGACATTAAGTTATATATGCTTATACTTTATTTTTTTGCTAGCAATAAACTGGTTATTTTACTATAACTTCCTGAAGGCAACTTCAATACTAAATGCAAATGTACTCTATTTGATTTACAAAAAAAACTACCAATATTTATTTACCATTTTCCACAGAAACCAGAACTTCTGATAAGGTCATACAACACCTTACAGAAACAACAAGGACACACAGAAAGCACAGAATATTATATCTAAAAAGCATCCTATCAGCAAAGACGAAGGTATTACTTAACAGGATAAAAGACTAACTCAAATGTTAACGTTAGTTTGTACTTACTGTGATATTTAAATATATCCTACGCTTTTGAACGTCATAACTGACATATGCTGATTTTACTCCAATGTATTTCACGTCGATAGAGCGAGGGAAAAGGAAAAACACAGCCAATCCAGAAAGGAGCAGACAGACGAACACAGAAGCCATCACATACAGCTTTCTGAAAAGGAAAGTTGGATATTTAAATATGTATGTATCAAAAACTATTTAATGAAACATTTACAGAAAATGTCTTCAACTTGAATTGTTTCCCTACATACTAAACTAGAAGAAAAAGATACATAATTTAATCAGCCTTTGACATTTTAGAAGTATTGGGTAAGGTTGTACCAGCCTAGTTAAGTATGAAAATGTCCTCTTTAAAAAATGAATTCACTTTTTTGGAGACTGGGATTTCAGGCTTATGTAAGATAGAAAATGTATTTCAGAGATTCCCAAACCAGGCTGCACGTTAATATCAAGTTGGGGAGCTTGTTAGAAATATAAACTTCAAGACTTCCTTCTGAGCTCACTGAAGCATCATTTTCCTGTGTGTTTCACCATTATACCCTTAAGTGATTGCTCATGAGAGCATAACCACGTCTCATCATTACTATAATCAGTCCTTTTTAAGCCTCCTTATCCCAAAGTATTTACTTACTCAATTTAATAAAAAACATTATTTACATTAAATGTTTTGAAGATACTGTTACACTGTTTCTTTAAAATCAAGAAATGATGTCCCTCAAATATGATGGCGAAATTAGGACATTTCCAGATAAGCACAAATTAAGGGAATTTGTTAAAACCAGACCAATCTTTATAAGAGTCCTCTGGACAGAGAACCAAAAACAGCAAACAACCACCCACCAGACCATTAATACACATGATGACACAACCCAGAAACCAACCCAGTTATGGAAGTATCCAAAGTAAATAAGCCTGCAAGATTGTAAACAGGGAATGAGAGATATCAATTGGCAAACGAGGACAACTACAAATCAAAAAGAGGGAAAAAACTGTGGTTACAGAACTTCTAAATGGTCAAGATAAATGAAAGCTAAAATGGACTTTTCTAAACTAGGGAAGAGAACTATAAATCACAGAGTAACTGCAAAGAAAAATGATAAACCTTCACATAAAAAAGAAAGATAATATCAGGATACTATGAAGAACTATAACAAATTTGAAAATCTAGAGGAAATTGACAGATTTCTAGAAACATACTACTAACCAACAGAGGCTGAGATGAAAAACTGGAACAGACCCAGAACAAAAGAAGAAATTGAACAGGTCATAAAAAAATTACCAACAAACAAACCCCTGTCCCAGACACTTTCACTGGTTAATTCTACCAAAAGTTCAGAGAAGAACTAACACCAACCCTACTCAACCTATTCCAAAACATAGAAAAGGATGGAATCCTTCCAAGTTCATTTTATGAAGCAAGCATAACCTCGATACCCAAACCAGGCAAAGATATCACCAAAAAGGAAAACTACAGACCAATATCCCTCATGAATACAGATGCAAAAATTCAACAAAATACTAGCCAATAGACTCTAACCACATATCAAAAAAAAAAAAAATACATTATGACCAAGTGGGATTCATACCAGGTTTGCAAGTATGGGTCAACATTAGAAAAATAATCAATGACATCCACCACATAAATGAAACAAAGGAAAAGAACCACATGATCATTTCAATCGATGCAGAAAAGGCATTTGATAAAATTGAACACTCATTCCTGATCAAAACTCTCAGCAAAATAGTTAGAAGAGACATTTCTCAACATAATAAAGGGCATATATGCAAAACCAACCACCAATATTATTCTCAATGGAGAGAGACTGAAACATTCCCCCTGTGAACAGGAACCAGACAAAGATGCCCACTATCACCACTTCTATTCAACATTGTACTGGAAGTCCCAGGCAGCGCAATAAGGCAAGAAAGGGAAATCAAAGGCATCCAAATTGGTAAGGAAGATATAAAACTATCCCTATTTGCTAATGATATGACCTTATACATAGAAAACCCAGGAGACTCAGCAAAAAACTACTGGAACTAATTGAGAGATTTAGCATCATAGCAGGATATAAGATCAACATCCAAAAATCAACTGGATTCCTCTAGACAAGCAAAGAGATTGCTGAAAGGGAAATAAGGAAATCAATACCATTTACAATAGCTACCAAAGAAATAAAATACTTGGGAATAAATCTCACTAGGGGCACAAAAGACCTGAAAACTACAAATCACATACCATGCTCATGGATAGGAAGATTGAACACTGTGAAAATGTCAATACTATCCCAAGCAATCTACACATTCAATACAATGCCAATTCAGATCCCATTTACATTCTTTAAGGATATGGAAAAACCAATCACTAACTTTATATGGAAAGGAAAGAGACCTCAGATAAGCAAAGCA